GCTCGACAGCTCGACCAATTTCTGCTTTTGCATTTCAAATGCAGACAAGAGCCCGGGCTCGGAAGTTGTTTTCCAGCCCACAGGTTTTTGGCCAGACACAACAACATTTTTTGGTTTTTGTTTTTTTTTTTCTTTTTGAGTGGGAGTTGATGGGACTGTGAGCCAAACGTGGCTCCTCAATTAACATGCATTCAATGCAACCCTCAGCAGCACGCTTGCAACCCCCTTCATTCAGTTTTGCCTTTGCCTTTTGCTTATCTCCATCGTTTAATCAGCGCCTTTGTTTGCACTTTCACTTGCGCCCTTTTGCATGCTGCACTTTTCAATGACACTTTAACACACACACACACACACACACGCACACACACATGCATACAAAAGAGACAACTCTGGCCTCTTATCACAGCCCACTTAAGGTTTGTTAACATTCAACATACTTCCCCTCTTTGGGTTTTCGCCTATTTTGCACCTTTTTCAGGCAGACATTGTCAAAATTCATAATTGAACAGTTTTGCTCAAAAGGGAACGAGGTGTATGTGTATATGTATGTGTGAGTGTATTTATGCTTTGCTGTGTTTCTCTCTCTCTATGTCTGTAGGCGTGTGTGTGCGTATGTGTGTTTGAGTGTATGTGTTTGCATTTGTATTTGTATGCTTGTGTGTACTAGTCAAGTGCTTTTCAGTGCGCATTTGCTAGTCGAAAATCTTTCGTTAATAATTCAAGAGCTTTTAATGTCATGAATATTCATAAAATTTTGAGCATGATTTGATTTTATTGCGTATTTTAGTCTGTCGTCGACACAAGCAATAACAGCAACAACAGCAACAACAACAGTCAAAAGGAAGACTAAGTGAACAACAAAAACAGCAGCAAAAGGTTAACTTATTGCGAAAATACACCAAAAGGATGCTTACAACACACACTTGTAAATCATTCGATATGGGGACTGTATCTATGATATACGGGTTAAGTGATTTTGCAATGAACATAATTTAAGTAGCTTTGGGTAGATGATTCATATATTTTTATTTTTGACTTATTTTTTTGGGTTCAATATCAAATTTATTATAAGAATTGAGAATATAGCAATTTAGACATCTTAAAATTTCTATAATTTAATTTAAATGAACCTTAAATTTATGTACACTGTATAAGTGATCTTAAATGATTTGGTTGAGTGGTATATTTATTATGTAACGATATTTGAGACATTGCATAAATACAGCATATTTTTAGCTTATCAATTCTTTTTGTATCTAATAAAAAATGGTTGAAAGAACCGATGTGGCATAAGGCCAGAAAGTGTTTAAGGAGAGGTCCTACAACTTACTTAGGTGTGTAGGAATGCAGGAAATTTCTTAAAATATGTTAATATTAAACCTAAGTCACGGTACTTAAAAAAGAAATTTTAAATAATTCTCAAATCTACCATCTGCAAGTCTAAAATGCATCAGTTAAATAAAATAGCAAAAAAACGCACCTAATCTCAAAGCAACATTTATTTTTATGCATGAATCCTTCCTTAAGAATATCATAATATATTTTTTTTTAACTAAAGCTATGTGAACGTTAACATGCTTCAACTTGACGTAACCTACCTTAGTCCCACGCAACCCCCTCCCCTCACCTGACCAACAAACAAGACAACCCTTTACGAATTTTTTACGACCACACGTGCGTTTTGTTGCCCCGCAACCCCAACCCCGCCCCCATCTACTGCTCCCTGCTCACATACCGTTCTTAGCAGCTATTCGCGAAATTCTTTTAAAGTTTCGCACGGCAACTCGTAAATTTAGTGGAAAATGTGTCGTAAAATATATGTATATATAAATATATATATGTATTTATTTATGTGAATTCTCAGTTAGAATGGGAGTGGAGCTGTAGGGCAAGTACGCGCTTATTGAGCTGTGTGCCAGGGGACTAAAAATGCTCAATTTCTTATCGATTTCTATACCTTTGGCTACCTACATATGCATATGTATGTATATGTATGTGTTGATGTCAAGGAGAATGGGTCTCATTTGCGGCTAATCATTAAAAGTACTTTACGATTCCGTTCAAGTCCATTAAATGGCTATTTGCTTATCAATTTCTTTGTCAGTTATCTTTTGCTTATTTTTATATTTCGATTTTTTGTTTTTTTTTTTTTATGGTGGAGTGGGGCGGCGGGGAAAGTAAACTAGCCCACAGATTTTCCCATCCATTCAAAAGCAATTGTCGCATTGTTCTTGTTTATTGCTATGCATAATTTGGGCGAACTGCTCATGCATGGGAAATACGTGACAGTCGCGTCTTTTGTGTAATTGCGAGAGCCCTGATAAAAGGACAAGTATGTATGGGGTTGAGGGGAGGGGGCTTAGTTAAGGGGTCCCCGAAATGAAATCAAATGATTTGCCGTGCAACTGATTTATGTTTAATTTATAGAGCTGACTGCCGGCCTGACCGGCATGCAAATAAATTTCAAATGCGACCCAGCGATGAAGACATAAACTCGACTGGCCCAAAAACGAAACTACAAACGAGGCCCATTAAAGTTCTGACACAGCAAAAAACGAAACACTGAAAGAGAGAGAGAGAGTGTGTGTCTATAACAATTAGGGAGAGAGAGAGAGTGTGTAAAAGAGAACAGCAGCTTATGCGCTGAATACGCCAACAAGCATTCCGAAAGAGAGCGAGAGCGAGCGACATGTTGACCAAGTTTTTACTTGCGGTAGGACAGGACTTGCCGAAGTGCAAACGAACCAAAAACAGAACTGGAGCGACGGCAACAGCAACAAATGCCGGCAAATGCTTTTGTATAAGAGTTTGCAGTACAGTCAGAGAGAAAAAACGGCGATAAAGAGAGAAGCAGAGCGAGAGATAGACAGAGAGGGAGAGAGACAGAGTTGAAGTAACTGAGTGGATTGGCATAAAGGCATAAACTTAATACGTTACACTTTGAAAACTGTGCGGGTAAAATACAAATTTAAAAACTTATTAACTATAATAATGTAATACGTCCAAATAAATGAAGTATAGTTAATATTATTATATAAATAAATAAAAAATAAAAAAATGAATTGTATTTGTTAAGCTTGAGGAAGTTGAATTATTTATTACAGCAGATTTACTAAAGTTAAATTATTAAAAATACAAATCCTTTAAATATTCGATATATTCGAGACACTTTAGTTTTTCCAAATAGACCTACTCGCAATTAAACAAATGTATGCAAATAATTTCAGGTGTTTAAATATTGTGTTTATTCAATTTTAATTAGGCATTGCTGAGAGTATATTTCTAAGAGGATATTTAAATAAAACCTTGAGCAGCTTCTGAAGTGGCATGTTAAAGTGTTATTTACATACTTAGGTTAACAACCAGTGCATGGTTTGTGTCACTGCTAAGCAAAAAAACTCAAACATCATACGAATATTTGCGATTATTTTATAAGCTGATTATTCTTTATTGTGAGCGTATTTTTACAATTATTTATTGTATATTTACCATGTAGGTTTATTTAAATTATTGTATAAGCAAAGTAACAAAAAGGAGTTTCATTCCGTATATATGATTTTAGTTTCATGAACATCAATTTTTTCTTAGCAATGATGTTAAATGAATGCAGTTATTTGTCAGCCACCGTCACAGTTGCTTCGCACTTGTGCAACTTCTATTGCAACTCGTACAAATATCCAATAAAATTCCAGGAGGGGGCTAAAAGAAATGACACCAGGAGAGCGGAGGGATTTTTTTTTATAGGAGGAGATGTGTCAAATAAAGAACACCAAATTCAATTGCAAATAGTGAAACACATTGCTCTCTTGTCTCACAGTTTCGTTGACAATTTTTTAGATTTTCACTTCGCTTAGAATGACAGTGCGAGGGTGGGCAAGGGGTGAGTTGTCCTCAGGGTGGTCGCTTTGCGTATTTATTGAAAATGTTTCGATTTATGTTTAGAGCGATATTTGCATTTGGGCAGATAAACGAAACGCGAATGCAAAAAATGCAACGGAAATTTATCTTTACAAGTGTTACAAAGAGATGCCAATATTCAACCGAAAACAAGAATTCGAATGAGATGAAGAACATTGTGATAAATAAATAATAAATAATACTCTAGTAAAATGGAATAATATAAAAGTTTTCTTTTATTGCGTTGAGCTATTCAGAAAATATGTCTAATTTTGCTGATTATATTTTTCTTAATGGCTTAAAATTATTTTGAATTTTGTATTTCCTTTTAAAATTGAAAAAAATATGTTAAGCATTTTTTCTTATTTAAACTTTAATTTAATTTATAAAAAGTTTTTCAGAGAAGTTTTATGATGCTTTCGCTGTTCGGATAACAATTTCAAAGTCACTTATAGTTTTTTTCCTTAAAAAAATCTAGCAATTCCTGCGTTTTCATCAGCCAAAATCTAAAAGGGAAAACATCGTAAAAACTGTGTGGTTTTAATTCGGTCTAAAAAGAACTGAACACGTGAAAGGACAAACACCCATACCTACACATAAACATATGCATAAGCTAACCGCGAGCAGACTGCAAACTGGAAAGCAAAACCGTGTGGAAAGTAACGAAATGGGTCTTTAATCTTCTTAAGTGCGGCAAAGGTTTAGCTTCAGCCCTGCGTCCTACTAGCAGCACCTCCAAGCTGCATCAGGCCCAATATGGTTTATAGCCAAGAACTGTAAAGTTTGTCAGACCTTGTTTTTGTTCTTTTCTTTTCAATAGAATCCCTGCAAGGGAATACTTAATGAACTGGCAAGCTGAATGCTTTTGAATACGCAACTATATTTGGTATAATCCAAATGGTATTGGAAATTGGTACAGCTACAATTGTAATTTAAAGTAAGAAAGACATGAATTAAAATTTTTTCTTTATTGTTATGTTAAATATTTTTTTAATTTATTGCTTTAAAAAAATTAATACACATAAAAGAAACCTTATATACATTATTATAGCTAACTGCGTATTTGTTAATTTACTCAAAACAATTTCATTTTTGAACAAGGATATATTATTTATAAGAACAAATATTTATGACAAAAACTGTTTAATCTCCGAAAGACCCATCGCCAAAAGTAAGGATCTGCTTCGCCAATGCCACACAATGCAATAAAAATGAAAATCAGTATAAAATAGAATATATCTTTTTGATGGACTTTATTGTGCGGATCTATAGGCACACAGAGTTTGGGCTTGGAGAAAATCTGACCAGTTTTACGCGACAGATATTCAATTCTCATAATGTTAGTGTTCTGATCTGAAAGCAGAGATAATTTATCCAACAAATAAAGATATTAAAACATAAATATTAACTACCTTTTTCAAATGGATTGTTAGTTGTTCTCAATGCCATCAACTGTTGCTGTATTGCCAAATTTATATATATCCGACAGAATTGTTTCAATCTTTTAGATTGCCTGATCTGATTCACCTGCGCCACATTAATCTTGGCCAGTGAAAAGGGTTGGACAATCGCTTTGGTTTTATTTTTAGTGTCCTCGACTATATTTTCCATTGGCTTCACAGTTTTCCTATCCACTTTTTGGGCCAGAGTCAAACACTTCATCTCTTCTTCTCTCGTGAGTTTCGATATTTCATTCATATTTTTCTTTAGCTCTTCAATCTCTTTAACTTCTGGGTAATTATTATGCCGTTTTGAAGCCATTTGATTTTTACTTGTTATTGGATTCTTTTTAGTCATTTTATTATTATTAACTTGGAACTTATTGCGCTGCATTGTATTAAATTTCCTAAATTCTATTCTTTTAGAAAGCCGCATATTAGTGGTAGTTATTTTTTTAATCTGTTCAATCTTCACATTTGTCTTCCTTAAGATCTCAACTTTAGCTTCGGGCCTATGCTCACTTACAAACATTGACTGAGATTTGGCTTCCAATATTATCTTATCGCCAGCTTCAGTCTCAGTTTGCATTGATGGCTTAGATAGTTTTTGCTGCTCCACAACGAATTCTTTGTTGTGATGAGTCTCCATTATATTCTCATTTACTTTTGTTGGTGAAATAGGCTGTTTCATGACTGTTGACAAAAGTTTCTTGTTATTATTGATCTCCTTTTTTGGTCTATTGCTAGCATGCACAGCCTGTTTTGAAGTCTTTTTTTCTCTATTCATTGATGTCCTGACTCTCTCATTGATCTTAGTTACTTTGTCTGCTCGGCGTGTTGGGGTTTTACGGTGCGATTCTATCATTTCTTTCAGCTCCCAACTGCCAATCATCTCAACATGTACATCACTCAGCAAGTTTTTCAATTGTAAATTTTTCTTTGCATTAAATTTATTATTATTCTCAGCATTGATTACTCTCTTGCAGGAAGATTCCACTTCCTGCTCTACCAAACATTCTGATGATACTTTTTCACTACTTGACTCATGTCCGCCTTTTGTTTTTCTCCGGTTGATTATGGATTGCATTCTCTCCACATTCTGATACTCCCTGTGTATGATGCGTCCGCCTATGGCCAAGAGCGAGTTCTTTCTGGCCAGCCCATAATTCTCTATTCTGCAATTGGGATGGGTATTTGGAGCAGCCCGACGCTGATTTCTTTTCATTTCCTTATTAACTGTGCACTTTTGTATTGAGCAAATCATTTTAATAAATATATAAATCTATCGTTTGACTTTCAGATATATAGCTTTCTTGGTTTCAATTACCTTTGCTTCAAAAAAAAAAACATAAAATAAAGTACATTCTCGACTCCAAAAGAAAAGGTAACAAGACTAAACAGAGTGGCAAAAGTATTAAGTCAAGAAAATACAATTTTGATTGAGTGGGTTCATCCTAGAAAAAATAAATTTGACTCAAGATTTCCAATCATTTTTACAGGCGCCAATTACTTATCAGAAAATGCGTTGGCTTTTCAGATATTTTGCTTATATTGTTGTCTATGTTGCTTATCAGATAAAACTTTGGTCAAAGTGAACATTGCTCGGAATATCTTTAACGGGAGCAGACGTAAAGAAGTATTATGTATTATGTATACCTGAAAAGCATAAAGTGTCCGTTAAGATTCTTAGGAAACTATACTAATCCATTTTCTCCGCACAGCCAAAGAGCGTAAACCTCTTCGCTGTTTTTTGTTTGGAAACTCTTAAATTCTGATTGAATCTTTAAGTTATGTGCATGGATAATTCGTTTGGACACACCACTTCGGCATTTTGTTGACGGTTTAATGCCACCGCCGCCATTGTTGTTGCTGTTGTTATTGTTATTCTTATTGCCACTATAGAAAGCCACGGGAGCCACACCTCCCTCGCTACGCGTAATTTGTGCTCCACTTCAGAACGTAAAACTTTCAAAAAGTCATCAAAAGTTTATGTGTTGCCCAGGACCACCTAAGTCGAGACATGATTCCTTCCGGCCTTTACGTTGCTTTCTTGCATATGTTTTTCTTCTTTTACAAAATTATTTTTTGTGTTATTTTTATTTTTTATTTTTGGTCGAAATTTTAGGGTGCTTGCAATTGGCGAAAGTTTTTCGTTTTAAAGTCTGCACGAGTTCATTTAAGTGAGCATAATTTTATGAGAAGCGACTTTAAAGTTCAACGTTCTTAGCTGTGTGCCTTTATAGTGCGGACTAATTAGCCGGCACCAAAAGGAAAATGCACTAAAAATAAACTGATTCGATGCTATCGAGCTGCGCTTTACAACCCGAGAATCAACCCCGTACCCCAAACACACTTCTTACCTACTCAGTCCCACTGGTCAGCTGCGCTTTGTATTTCTGCTTCGTTTGCGCCGCGTTGTAATTGCAAAAGTTTATCTTTATCTGGGCCATGGCCAGCTCAGCAGTGCCGGCAAATGGTCACATTAAAGTAATTACATTCACTGCCCCAACAAAGCTGCCGCTGCCACTTCCACTGCTGCTGCTACCCCAGAGGCAAGTTGCTCCTTCAAGTATTCGCGGGGCTCTCGTGTCGCCTTTACGTTAATTTGTTGCTCCAGAGTAGAGAGAGAGGGAGAGAGACCGGGGCAGGGATTCTCCCTGTGTGTGTTAGATTTCTTAGCTCTAAAAGAAATTTGAGAGATTAGCTGACAAAAGCTGTACAAAGTAGAAGGTTGAGTTTACGGAATGCGTGCTAATTTTAGAAGGTTTCCGCTTTGTGTTGCATGCAACGACATATTTATATAAATTCTAAAAAAGAACCTTACCTTACCTTATATTTTCTTATCCGCACTTTTTTTCAATCCACATCTGCCAATATAAATTCACAGAAATAATCAAATTGTGGTTCGCTTTTTCACATTCCCTCTCATTAAATATCACAAATGATATATGCTGCGTTCACCTTTCTAGCTTCATCCAAAACATCATAAATAGTAATAAAATTAGAATCATTACGATGAATACATGAAGAGGTGTTTTACAGTTGTTGAGTTTCAAAATCAACTTCTGGTTTAGTTAACGCCATATAAACTATATAACTGACGAGCAATAAAATCGAATATGGAATGAATGGCAATATGCGATATGCGAGTCTTGACAAATTCGTCGACCTTTGGCTTCCCACGTAGGTAGAATAGAACCGAACAGTTGCGCGAATTTTGTCCGATAAGCCGGGATGTCCTACGGAGCTGGTGGCATGCAAAAATCGGTTGTCGTCTACGGAACCAAGCAAACATTTTGTTTGTGCAAAAATTTTGTGTGATTTCCCCACGGAAATTGATGATGGTGTTTGCTGAGTCGCAAACGTGTTGGAGGAGTTAACCGAAAGCAGCCAAGAGACTAAAAAGAACGAGAGAGAATAGGTTGGAGAGAGAGAGAGAGAGAGAGAGAGAGGTAGCCCACCTACAGTGAATTTGTCATTTCCAGTCTAAACGTGTGGACAAACAGAGCTACATGAGTGGTGGTGGTGGTGATGTAGTGGAGCAGAGTGGAACTGGAGTCTGGGCTGACTAGTGGCATTTGTTCGATGCTTCGTTTGTTTGCACGGATGTCAGCAGCCATAACAACGAGCAGTGAGGGGGGGCTGGAGGAGGTATCGAACTGGGACGCGCAGTGCGTGTCGCTTTAACAAACCGGAAGTTACATGCGAAATGTAATGAAAAACGACAGAACGGAAGTAGCAGTGGGGCACCCTGTAACCAGTAACCAGTAACCAGCAACCAGCAACCAGCAATCCAGAGCACAGTGCTCCGAGCACATAACATGGCCGTGGGCAGTTTTATGCATATCCTTCGGGATATTGGAGCTGCCGTCGAGGAGAGGTGAGGGGGTGGCTTGGGATTGGGATTGAAATTGGTCCTCCAACGACTACTCGCTGTGTGTGAGTTAACGTTGCCTGGTATTTATAGACAATTGGTTCGTGATTGTTGACAACGCACAGCGTCGCATGGAATGCCATGAACATCAGCCCTGGCTATTCGACCATTCCACATGTGGCCACCCCTCGTGCAGCAACAGCAGCAACAGCAACAGCAGCAGCAGCAGCACTGTGCGTAGGCAATTTTTGCATGCCTCATAAAAATGCTGCGAAATATGTTCGGGGCTGCATGAGTTTTTGGCCATGGCAGGCAGGAAATAGTGGCGCTGTTCTCTGTTTTTCGGCATTGATTTAGCGCCTGCGGCCAGAGCAAATATGCCAAATTCCTTTTGACGTTCTTTGCAAAAGCCAATAAAATAAATAAATAAATAAAAATATCCATATATAGAACATTTTGCTTTTCATTTTAATATTGTGTGTTTTTGTAGCATTTTAACTGTGGTGCCATAATAATTGCAAATACGATCAACTCGGAAAAAAACAACAAAAGTTGATCAAAATATTTTTAAATTTGTCGCATTTTTTTTTCAATGTGCACCTTTTTATATGAAGATTACTTGTATTTAAAAGATCATTCATATTTTAAGGACTACACAGCTACTGATACAGTTTGCTTTTAATCAAATATCATTTTAAAACATTTTCGTAACATTTTCTTAAAGTAAATTTCTTGAGAATAATATATTCAAAATTCTCTGTTCTTTTGGGGAAAAATGCTTACGAATACAACGCAGAAGTCCAGTAAAACATCGATTAAGGAGAATGCTATTCAGCCTAGTGATAACAATGAGGAGCCCAAACGAATCGAATCGCTTGTTAAGATCAGTAGCTCTTCAAAACAATCAAGTAGTACCTCACCATGCCAAAACAATTCGGAAGTGACAGAAGTGGAACGCATTGTGAAGAAGACGCTGCAACAGCTGCAAGGAGTCTGTCAATTTGAGGATTTGGAATCACTGGCTAACATATTGGTGCCGAAGGTACTCTTCAGCATGCACAGCTTTGAAAGGTTAAGTGAGGAGGTGAAAGCCATGAAGCAGTCATTCGACTGCTATGTGCATCACACCAAGGTGCTGGGCGAGGATATTGCTGAAATCTTTTTGGATCTGCACAATATCTACTCGAAGCTGGACAAGTTGGATAAACAGCACATGCAACAACAACGCGATACAACATTTACCAAGCGGGTGCGTGCAGCTCAGGAATTTCTTAGGTCTACCAGGCACTATATCGTGAATGACAATGGAACAACCAATTCGCTGACAACTGCGAACCAAACGCCAGATACTGAGCTAGAAGGAGATGGAGAATGCAAGGTACTCTCACATAGTGAGACAAAAAGCGCCGAGAGAAAAGCATTTCTCGCCAATATGGTAGTGGCAAAAAAATCGGATTTCTCGCTCAAGCTCAATCGCAACAAGAACTTTTATTCAGAGGCAGAAAGATTATTAAATATCGAAAATAGCGACAAGGAAGACAAAAATTGACGAATCTTATGCATACCACTTTGAATTTGGTAAGAGAACGCGAGCAACAAAGAGAGATGGAGAAATGGAGAAAGGGAGAGATGGTGCCTCTGTTTCTCGAGAGCTGTGCGCACAACACAAAAGTGCAAATTGCTGTGGTAAACCACTTGAAAAAAATACAAATAAAACCACAAAAAAATACTTGACTGTAAAATGCTGTGATTTTTACCTGAAATGTGTCTGTAGCTCAACAACTGTCTCTTAAGTGTCTATATATATGTGTGTGTGTGTGTTTGTGTGTGTGTATTTGTCAATTTGCATACGAAACGTTGCCAAAGTGGCTACTCAGTTGGTTTCCACTTGAATTTTGGGGTTCTTCCATGCCATTAGCCACTTCTGTCGCTTTTCGAGCTTGAAGCGATTCATTCAATTCGAGTAGAGCATTTTTAAAGCTTGGAAAAACTTTCGGGATTGTGATGCACACTGCTAATCGTAATCACATTCACATATCCCAATCCAATGCTGAGCCTATTCCGCAATGGGTTCAGCTTGCCGGCAGAAATAATTGGCTGTGTTTTGGCAAAATGGCAAAATGGCAAAAGAAATCAACAGCAATTTAGATGGCTCGGCAAAATGCAAAATGCATCAGCTTTTGCATTGTCTATGCATCAGCGAGGGTATCTTCGAAAGATAGTAACGAAAATTCAAAGCAAATAAAATGTTAATATGCATTTATTTATTTAATATGTAAATTATTTCAAAAAGAGCTGTAAGCAGGGAATATGTTGTGGACTAATCTATAATTTTCAGTTAAAAATCAGCAAAACCAGCTCTTCATTTTCAAACTCTAAAGAAAAACTCAATAATATTTTTTCCACGACATTATAAATTAAAAGCGGTAAATTATAAAAGTTATTTGATAAATCATTATATTCATTTGTTTATTTAATGTATAAAATTTTTCGAAACAGAGACCAAAGAATAAATTCGTGTAATAGTTTTTTGTCGGACTAACAAAACATTTGCAAACAGAAATCATCAAATCAACACGATATTTGCACTTACAAAATTGGAATGCAAACACACATTTGCAAGTTGTGAAAAATAAATTCGAATACATTTTCAAAGTTAATATATTTTAGTGACATTAAATAATAAAAAAAAATTATAATAATATTATAATGTTTATTAATATCGGTTATTTACAACATAATCATAAATGGCTTTTGTGACCATATTGTTTGGGGGATATTAAGTCATAAACTTAAATTTAAGTGTGGAAATGTTTGTTGTTTCCAGAAACTGTTGGGAGTTTGTCTGCCTTAAATCGAAAACCAAATGCATAAAACCTAATTATCAATGTATTGAACCACCCAGAAGTGCAGCTGTTCCAACTCAATTCCTTTACCACAGGGTGAAATAGAAGGAATGATAGGCAATGCCTTGGGGCTTTTGGCATGATGCCACATTGTGTATTTTGACAGAGGTTAATTCGATTATCGATATCAATAGCAGTAGAAGGCGATAATTGATTTTAGCAAACGCTGCAAACGATTAATTGAACTCCGTTTCTTCGCCCAGAGGCTTGATGGTCCAGTTATGCAATTGACGACCTCAAATCAGACTCACACACACACAAACACACATACATATATTTATTATCAAGCAATTGAAGCCCGCTGCCAATTCTATTGTTGTCTTTTACTGCTGAGCTAGACAAGTGTACTGTTTGTGTGTGTGTGTGTTTTTGCACTCAAAATAATAGCATAGCACATACAATACAAGTACGCCAGGGTCTAGCATAGGTTGGGGATTCTGGGTGGGGTGGGTGGGTCAGCTTGACTGCAGCCTGTAATGGCAGCATTTACTCAATTTTTAGTACATAGTAAACGTATTTCTTTTATGGCCCGAGGTTATTTGTGCACTGCAGACGAGGCTGCGTTCTATATTGTACAGCACTCAGTTTTCTAGTACAGAGTGCCTAGAGTGAGTTCCCCATGCCAGCTCCATTTCGCATTCGCAAACAGAAAGCTACTAGTGTGTCCTGACACAATATAAACGAACTTCGTTTCCTGAGTGGCCATTTTAATGCAAGGCTTTTCATATGCTCGCCCCCTGCCACCCGTTCCCTTCCTTATCCCCGATTCCATGCCGCTGCTTGCCCGCCGGTCAAAAAACCTTAGCAAATACTCGCAACACAAAATATGATAAAGTACTCGTATCACTGCTGCTGTGGCTGCTGCCTTTGCTACTGGTTTGCTTTTAATTGCTTTGAAGTAAACACTGAGAATGCCCCTTGGTACATTCATAAATATAATTGCCAGTTGGGGCAACAGCAATATTTGGTTTGCTTCAAATTTTAAAGACACGCCCCTTCTCCCCCCACGGCCCCATTAGCCATAAGCCTATAAGCACAACTGGCAAAGCGTTCCTTTGTTTATGTTGTGCGTCTGCGTGTGAGTGTGTGCCAAAGGTGTTATTTAATTTAATGCCTCGTTTTGTCAGTTTACATTGTATTTACTGCTACGATTATTGTGGTCGCTATTCTCTAACATTGTTTTCCATTTGACAGTCGAACACCAAAATTTTTTCATTGCTAGTATAGATATTTTATTTACCTTAATTTGTTAGTAAATGGAAAATTACTTTTATTAAATTCATAAATCATTAAAATTTACTTTCGATCAGTTTCAAAATAATGATTAAAGCTCTGTGCGAAATCTCAGTGCATTCATAATTTTGATAAGAAGCCAGACATGAAAAAACTTTTAAAATGCAATATTTTTTTTAATAATCAACGTGATCTAATGAATTAACTTTCTCAATTAATTCGCATTATTATTATTTTGAAATAATTAAAATATTTATAATTAATTACAGATTACGTCAAAAGAAAGGTAAACTTTGGTATGTATATTTGTTTTGGTGTGTTATTCTGCATAAAATGCAAAAGAAATATCTGTAAAGAAAAAAGAAATAATGCGAATAATTTTTTATGTGAAAACAAAACTCTTTTTTATGAAATGGGGAAATTCGTTAGGCAGCTGCATTAGGCCATAAATTTATAACCAAAAAGTAAACAGTAAATAAATGTTTATTGTTATTGTTGCTGCTGTCACAGCTGCCTTAAATAATTATTTAACATTTTACATTGTTTAGTCGCGTTTTTGTGTGTTGCGAGCGGCTTTTGTTTGTTGTAAAGATTTGACTCGATTTGCATTTGTGCAAACGTTTCATGAATGATTCATGAGTATTACCCAAACAGATGCTAACAATGCTTCGATTTCTATGGCGACAACGCCACAAAGACCCGACACTGAAAATATGTCAGATATAACTTCTGTTAAATATTTACGTACATGAGCAAATGGAAATAAATGAGTACAATATATAGATAAAAGAAAAACGATCCAAATGGAAGACAATTTTTGAATGAAATGGCTCAGCTGGCTGTAAGTCATGCTTCGAATACGCAGTCATATATTTTCTACGATGAGCACAAATGCATATGGTGCACTGTCAAATATCAGATTTAAGTTGGGGGTACCAAGACAATTCTTCCCGCTGGGGTTTTAAAATTATTTAATGTTTAATATAAATAGTAAATGGCAAATTAAATAACTAGAATTCTTATTTAAACTAAGGAAACTTGTCTACAATGCACTTATCCAACAGATATGCAACAGGAAAAAATTCGAATAGGAAACTAAAAAATTACTACCTTTTACAAGGCCAATACGATATGTGCAACATCCCAATACATCCCAGCTTGAACAGTTATGCTTAGGGACCTCATTTGGTAACCGCGTTGTAATAGAGCTAATTAAATCAGTGTCAAGTGACTCCAAGAGAGAGAAACATCAAGTGCCATGCTGGATATAAATATATACAACCCGAATCACACGTAATAAGTGCCTGTTTTATATGATATTTAAGGCAATCACATAATCTTTGCAAAAAGCGCAAACTGGTTTGTGCAGTTAGCCTGCGGACATAAGTAAGAGTTTCTGCAAAAACTCTCCATTTGGGATTTCAAATATATATATTAAATTCTCTATAAATATAAAAGCATTGACAAAGTACAACCAGAAGTCAATGTAAGTCTCATTAAGAGTGCAAAATATTGGGAAAATAGACAGCAGCTCGAATTTTTAAATATTCTCAATTAGGTCAAGAAGAGATTTTAATATTCAAAATAAAAAAAAGATTGTTAGCGATTCAACTCTCAAAAAAGACAATAATAGCTTACACATATATTATATTTATATTCAACTATATATGTATATTTTTTTGTTATTTTTTAAAGATTGTATCTTACCTTTTAGCTGATTTACCTTGGGGATAGCTGAAAATTCAGTTGCCAATCGAGCCAGTCAGCGTCAAATGCAAATTTAATGGTCTATGCGAAAGGTAGCCCGGCAAATGCTTTTAACCACATCCGCTGCCATTAGATGAACGACGAACATGGAGCCACAGAAAGCAACAATAGCAACAGCAACAGCAACAGAAATAGTAACAAAAACAGCAACAATGGAAAATGATGCCAGTGGAAATGTGAAAATCAATGCGCATTAGTGGTTGGTGTTATTTCATCTTATTCTCCGCTTGAGACGGCAAGCCGCATCGCTAATAGCATATCAAATAGGGGCTGTCTTGCTCTGCATTCCCTCTCCCTAACCCTAATACTGGGGACGCATTTTGCATTAGCCAAAGGTAGTAAAAACCTCACAGTTCCTCCAAATCACACAGCTCAACCGCAGGGCTCATCAATTTCAATAATATAGCTGAACTACAGTGAAACCTTAATCAATTACACTTCCAGCGAGCTACAGAACTTATTGCCTATGCTAAAATCAAGAAGTCAAAATCAAAGAAAAAATAGCAAATATATATTGAATTTCAAGTTTGTAAATAAGTTGGTATTCTGCAGGTAAATATTTATTAGAAAATGAAATTTAAAGCTTAATAAGAAATGCATTAAATGCAGATAGTATATAAGAGATGCAATCTAATGTAATGCAAATTAAATTAAAATATGTATTTCATTGTGGAAAACAATTACATTTTGAGTGCAGATAATGAATGCATTAAACTAAAACTGAATACAATTATGCGCTTATAAAAATACAATGCAAATTAGATTTTAATTAAAAATGACACTGATTTTTGGGCAATAAATTAAAATGAAAATACAATAGAAAATATTTATGAATT